TGAGACTGTTTCCACTGTCTGTGTACAGTAGGATTCAATAAATGGTAACCATTATTACTGACATTCTGGAAGAGGAAAATTCTTGATCTTCAAGAAATACTAGAATCTAAAGTTATAAACAGTACACTCATCATGGCTTATAAAATGACCCAGCCGTTGGACTGACAATCTGTAATAATTTATGTTCCAACAAGTATTCGTTATATATGATGTGACCTTCCCAACCCTAAATTCAATTTAACTTCCTGTGAGATAATTAGACCCATGAGGTAGGTCTGGGGTTGGGGAGAGTAAGGGAAGTTCACCAAACCTAATTAAAGATGAAATGCAATACAAGAAATCTAAAACTTCAGTGATGAAATTCTTCAAGTACTATATGTTTCAGAATTTGAGAGTGTTTATTAAAATTAGGTTGTCCACGCTGTAATTCAACTAACTGCAACACGATGCCTCGGGGAGGAGGAAGGCTGGGTGCGTTTCGTGACTGGGAACGAGCACCATGCTTTTAACAGGATGTTTGTGTGTACACTGTACTGAACAGTGGCAGTTAATGCTTTAATAAAAATAGAAACGGCACTGTTAAAACAGTTCTTGGTGGGGAACAGCTTCATAGACAGGTTCTACACTTTAAAAGATGTAATTCAGTAGTTAGCTTATTATTACTGGAACTCTGTACTACTACAAGCTAGATGGCAGCTTCAAAACTTATTTAACACTAAGATCTTGGAATTTAGCGGTAAGTCGTAAAACTACTATTTAATAACACTACCTACAAGAGCCACAACAGCGACCAACACTGAGGATGTTCGTGTGTTGTATAACATGCTCTCGTTTAATCCTTTCAACAATCTCATCAATTAGCTAATATTATGCCCAATTTAAGATACAGAAACCCTCTAAGAAATTAGGCAACACCCGGTATCACATGGTTAATCTGGGACAGAACTAAGATTCATACCCAGGGCTTTATCATTCTAAAGTCAATGTTCTTTATGACACACCACACTACTAATATCAGCTTAGTAACCTGACATAAAAGGTACATATAATTCCATTATAATTAAGATATCAGCTTATGGAATAAGATATTCCCTTTCCATACAGCACCAAACAGATTCTTGATATAATTATTTGATTTCTGCATAAAAGAATAATTACAAACTTTAATCTTGCCCATAAAGAAATGTTTAAAGCTAAGAGGAAGGAAAGCTAGATTTGATTCATTTGAAGACATGGTCTACCAAAATGTTACCTTCAGCTAAGCTTCTTAAGAAGTCCAAAAGTGATAATCATAAGCCAAGGCAACAAACAGGCATCCATATAGACAAACTAAGGCTGCTGACTGTACCAGATCTGCAGTACATGCAGCTAACAAGGAGAAGAAACAGGTATTTTCGCCTCTAAATAGTAGAGGCTATGGGACCTAGGGTTAGGGGCATAGAGTGCAGCCATTCCTCTAGTAAAAGCCCCCTATCCCTTTTTTTGAAGCTAGAATACAATGAAGCAGTACCTTGAAGATTCACAAGGAAAAATTACGTCCAACAAAGAATTATTTACCCAGCCAAACTATCAGTCAAGTGTCAGGTTAGGCAAAAAAGGCAGCAAAGTTTAAAATTTTTCCTCCCATGCATATATATTTTCTCAAGAAATTTCTAGAGGAGTTGCTCTACTAACCAAGAAAGAGGAAGAGAGGAGATCCAAGAATTCCCAGGAGGATCAACGGGCAAAAGAAAATACTAGGATGATAAGTGCGTGGCAGGCACAGGAAGCAGCCAACTCAGGCTGCGGAGCTCCGCCAGAGACGTAATCAAGTAAAAATGAAAATGACAGCCACCTTAAATTGGGAGGAAATTTACATTTCCAAATGGAGATGAATCAATGACAGGGTACAGAAAATAAACAGGGAACAAAACACAGTCATTTTTATAAACATCATTATAATTAACTCCAGGAAAAATAAAACCTTACAGAAGAAAATGTAAAAATGGTATACTGGACCTCAGTGACAAATACTTACATATACATAAAATGTACACATTGAACAACATGGACAACCAACAACTGTGTCAAAACTGTACTGGAAGTTAGCGAAAGGACAGGTGCATGTGATTGGGGCTGGGTGCTAACAGTGTAATTAATCTAAATCATTTTCCAAAATACAAAGTCTATACACATCATCTAAAATTGAAAAAAAAGTAAGAAATAGAAGAATAAGCATGACATATTACAATGCCAGAAGTGAAAAATTATCTCCAGGGAGTCTGAACAGGGAAAGGGTATAGGGAGGGAGCAAGCAGAGAAGTGACTTTTTTTCATTATAAACCTTGTTAAATCCAACTTTTTGAAGTAGATACACAAGTTATTTTAACTTAAAAATGTAGCTTAAAAATAATTTTATAAAATTATAAACTGAAGAAAAGCAAAGTAAAAACTAATTCATTATAATTTCAAAGTTAAGATTAAAAGTTTTAACAGAAATTTTTCTTTCAAAATAAAAAGAACACAATTCCTAATAAAACCAGTGTAAGGAACACTAGATTTAAGACCGTGTGTCTCCTTAAATGCACTTTGCCACTACATTCTGATAGCATTCTGCCTCATGACTGAATTCATTTTATTCTCAACTAGCATTCTCTATATGGTTTACCTAAAATTAAATTATGTTCAGAATTGTCAACTCTCAGAGTCGAGTAAGATGGCTTATCACATATACATATCACACTGTATTGCACACACACACATACTTAGAATTAGTTTCTTGCCTTTCTTCTGTCCTAGTCCTATAAATCTCCAGATGCTCACAATGCCACATGGAATATATTTTCAATGGGTAGAATTCCTTTTTCTTTTTCCAATTTCTTCATAAAGCTTATGAGGAAGTTTTTTGCTTCAGCGATTCAATTATTTTACTCTTAGAGGAAAATGAATGCCTTCAAATACTTTATTGTTACCTAAAAATTATTTATAACAAAGTATTTCTAATCTTGATGATGAATAGGTCAGTGGCAGTAAGTTATTTTCAGATTTTAAAATTTTGATTATGTATTTTGAATCTGATAAAAATAAATTAACAAAGCTAATACAGCAAAGTGATTGCCTTCTCTCTGGAGGCACATTTCTCTTATGACCATTCCCTCCTTTATTCTAGTCTATGTACTCAATTTTTCATAACCAAACTATTCCAATGTTCTTATTAACACTAAATCTAAAAATATTTTTTGGAGCAGTAGCATTTATATCAAAGGGCATTTTTTATGGTCATTGTCCTAACACCAAGGAGTATGAATTTTTAGGAACAGTCATAATTTTTTCATACAGCCAATGAATATTAATAGGTACTTACTGGGTTGGCTACTGGGAAGGATTCAAAGACAGAAAATTCATGTTTTCAACCCTCAGCAAGCTTAAAATCTAATAGAGAAGTTAAATACCCAAAGGAAAAAGAAAAAGAAAATAGCAACAGCAGCAATCAAGCTCAAATCTGTGAGCATTATTTCTAACTACAGAAATCCTAAGCCAACCCCAAAATAAGGGTGCCCAAGGAAAGGGCAAATCACTGAGGCTTACTCTAGTTCCTGATTCTACTATTCATTTCCCCAGGGTTCTTTCAGAAGCTATTAAAGAACAGATAAGAAGTTGCATAGATATGTACAAACCTGAAGGGGATTATGTAATTCCTTCTAGAGTATGAAAAAGAGCTAGTACTGAAACCGCTTTCTGCCACAAATAGATCACTATCTGAAGTCAGTGAGTACCATGTTCTTGAGAATTTATAAAGACCATTTGAGCTACTTTTTAAAAAAAAAAAAAACAAAAAAACAGTAACAGTTTTTGACCTAGGGTATTGGGGGTGTGAGGGAGTGCATCTATACATATTAAGCAAACTGACACAGCAAATTGTCTTCCCCAGTTAATGATTTCATATCATTCATGAAAAAGATAATCTGAAGGAAGCTAACAGAAAATGACAAAAATATGAATTGTTTTCAATAAATGGCAAAGAGTAAAAATATGGAACGTCGAAGTATATAGAAACATTCTTAGTTACTGTACTGTTCTGGATAACCAAACCTGAATGTTGAAAGGCTATAACATTGCTTCAGTGTATTATCAGAAATCCTGAACACCTATTTCTTATTTTGGCTTTACATTCACAATGCTCTTCTTTTGTTATTGTTCTCTCTTGTATGAAGTTCTTTTAAATGGTAGTGATGATGTCACATATTTTACTTGCCTGAGTGAGAAATAAACAAAACAGAACCAAAGAACATAGCTGACAATTACCTTGAATATATTAAAGAAAACCTTTACCTTCTAGTAAAGCATAATTTCTTCCAATGCATTTCCCTTTTCTAAGATTAAACTCAGTTTTTCCACTCTAACTATACAAACACAAAAATCCATTTATGCCAAAGTGGGATCCTATTCCATCCTAGTATCTTCGACAGCATTAACTAGGTAATTACTTAGAAAATATTATCACCAATATTCTTAAATGGTGAATAATTAAATTCTGGATTGAAATCAAAGCAAGGAGTAAGAAGAAAATAGGTAATTTGTCACAAGTTGTAACAAAGTCACTAATACTTTTTAAACACAGCTACAAGAGAGCATGTATAAACTAGGAAAACAGGACTTTTAAGCAAAAACTAAGTATAAAAATGTCTGTAAATGTATTTTAAGTATATAAAAGTGAGATATTTCCATGCATGAAATTTTTCAATACTATCCAATAGTCGAAGTAGAAAGAACCAGTTATGGTTCTACTACGCAAATCAGCATTTTTCTGTGTTTGCAAAAGGCACAAATTGAATAATCCAATGGAAAGAACATTAGGAAATCTAGGATGGCTAAAGGTTAAAATAATTTTCTGTTCTATTTGCTGTAACTAAAACCTGATCCCTACTTTGGCTTTATAATAAGGGTTTTTGCCCTTGTTACTCTTATTGTTCTTGTGTGTATCTTTTATTGATAGTCATGATGTTACATATGTAACTTGCCTGAGTGAAAAATGAAAGGAACAGAACCAAAAGGATCTTCTGGAGGATGGTTATGTGGAGCAGAAAGTGGCTCTACATTCTTATCTGAGGATGCTCTCTCCTCGAGCCTGTCTGCAAAAATAAGATGAAACAAAACAAAAAATAAAATAAAAACAAAACGATCTTTAAATTTAAAAGTGGCATACAGTATAAATAAAAGTGAAAATTAAACACAGCCTTCTTGAAAAATATGAGATTCAAAGTTCATCTGTTTAAGTATTAGGGGGTAGTCCTGAGTTTAATACATATTTGTTGCTACAAAGGCAAGTTTAACAATGTAATCACAGTGCTAGATTTCACTAAATACAATTAACCTAATAAATAACTTAATTTGGTTTGTTTAAATACCAGTTGTCTTTAACTTGTGACATACTGGATCTGAAGTTAAACCCAGATTATTAAACAGAGACATATTTGGCAAACTTTCTCTGAAAGCACATATGGAAAAAATATTGCAAATGGTCATTCATTCATAAAATAGGTAAATCCTATTTCTCAATAGCAATAAAAAGTAATTCACTATATGTTACTTCACTTTATGTTATTGTTCATTTCTCATATTACTTGGTTAAACCATTCTCATACATACAAATGCAAAGATATAGCTATTTCTCTACTAAATTTAAAAGCCTTAACAACAGAATTCATTTTTTCATTCAACAAGTAGTTGAGCATCTAGTATGTGCCAGGCACTGTTCTAGACAATGGGCATGCAATAGCAAACCAAAAGAGGACTCCTGCCTTCATGGAGTTTACATGCTGGCATGGAAAAACGACTGATTAGCAACAAGCATGAGAAATAGAGACTGTTAAAGCTAGAGAGAAAAATGTAGAGCAGGGTAAAAGGAATTAAGGGTGCAGACAGAGGTTGCAGTAATAAACAGAGTGAAATAGAGTGATTCTAACAGGTACCAGGTGAGAAAAGACTCCAAGGAGGCAGGAGTAGATACCTGGGGAAGAACACACCAGGCAGAGGAAGTGCTAGAGCAAAGGCTCGAGGGTGGGAGCAGGTCTGGTATGTCTGAAGAAGATTTAATGTATCCTAATTCCCTAGTAGTGATTATTTTTCCCTGCTCTTAAACTCTGCACATCGCAGGCACTTTACCATTTGAGAACTCCTGGCTTTTTATAAAATGCCTATCCTCTGATTCTTGGTTATCAAACATATGCTATTAGGGACCCATTTTGCCCTTACAGATATTTTAAACATTCCCAGGACTATACTTTTCATGTTTAAGGAATTCTATGGGTAAACTATGCTAGTTTCATTTGAGTCCTAAGGGATGGCAGGATGGGGAGGGAGAATCCAAATAGAATTAGAATTCTTTAAAAATGACTCGTAACTGCCGAGTGAAACAAAAAGCCCCAAGTTAAAGCAGCAATCTCCTAGGACAGTGCTTCTCAAATTTAATGTGCATTCTAATCACCTGGGAGTTGTTAAAATGCAGATTCTGACTGGATGGTTCTGCAATGGATCCTGAAATTCTGCAGTTCAACAGGCTTCCAGATGACATGATACTGCTGGTCCAGGGAGCACAAGCTTGAGAAGGCAAGGCCCTAGAGTCTACAATATCCTGAAAATACTCAATTATTGCTATGGACAACTGATTCTTTAAACACCTTTATGATACAATTATGAGCTTTTATGGCTAAAACTAATTCTGCAATATCCACACAAAATTTTAGGTTGTTTAAATTTTTACTTAAAATTTTGTTTGAAGCACTAGTTAATATTTTAAGGCAACACATCTGACAACTGATTTATGCACAAATAAAATTTCCAAAACTTAAGAGGCTATTTTCAAATCCAATACAGAAATGGATAACAATGAAAATTTATTTTAGATGTTCTTTTTCAAGGTGTTCACTGTATACTTAATTCAGGAAATCAGTAACAAATGCTGATTGTACTATGAAAAAAAGTTTTTTCATATTTTCTTGTCGAACACTTATAAAGAAGTTACTTTCATAGCAACTTTCTGAAAAAGTAAGGCTGGAGAACACCTTATAAAACCAAGGGTGTCTTTAATTTATTGTGGTGGGAAGCCACAATCAAACTTTAAGGAGAGGCCTAAGATTCAATGAATCACAGAGGATACCTGTGGGTTACCAATTTTATCAGGCCCTGATAAAATTATACTTATATATATATTTGCATATAAGCATATAGTTTATAGGTACTTAGGTCAAAATCAGGACCAGATTTCCTTCCTAAACCATCTGCATCATAATTGCCAGGACTCCCGTATAAAATGTATTTATACTCCTGTATAAAACCTGGGTCCTATCACAGACCTAATGAATCAGATTATCTGAGTAGAAGCTTGGGAATCTACATATTAACATATTCTCCAGGTTTATAAACCACTACTGTTCCAATGGTTCCCAGCATATAAAAATGCAAAGTTACCACTAAAGTTCTTTGAATCCTCATGCAGTGATGTATTATCTCCATCTATCTATGGTAAATTCATGGTAAATGTATAAAGAGCACCATGTAGTTATGACAAGAGTACAAATGCTATCATGTAGGGGTAAACAAATATTTTTTATATATGGGGTCCCCGTAAGTTAAAATATGAAGATACTGTTCCATACAAAGTTCATTTATCCAATTATTTCACAACAGGAAGCAGAATAAACTCACTATAAAATGAATCATGTTCTCATTGTTCCAAAAAACACAGGATCAGTTTTTCCATGGAAGATTTTTAAAAAAACATTTAGATTTCTAAAGTTCACATGATAATCTGGGTCCCAGGGCACAAAATAAAAGATAACATACATATTAATTTTTTAAATTATCAATAACCTATAAATAAAAACTAACAAAATGGTAATGTAGAGTTTCAAATACATAGTCACCCCTAAAATGTATTTAAGCTCCATTTTCAAAGAACTGGTTTTCTTTTCATTAGAGCAAAACTTGAGCTTGATTTGTCCAATATAAGAAACTTACCTCTTCCTGCCTTCCCAAAAGAATTGTGTGCTGAATAAAGACAGTATCTTTTCAAGAATTATAATGGATACAAACGGCAAAAATACAGGATTTTAAAATCCTAAAATCAAACTGTATTTCATACTATCATCAGAAAATTAACATACTCTAAAAAGTTAATTCAGCAGCTTATAGGGATAATGGCTTCAATAGCCAAAAGGTTAAAGAATAAGGTTTAAAAGTACAGTCTTCATCTGATACTTCTGACACTGTTCTAACATACCTGAAAAGTTCTCTTATTCTGCCCTAAAGGAACAGTGATAGGTCTGAATCGGCTTAAAATGGTGAGAGTTAATGTTTTACAACAAACTAACTATATATACAGATGTTTATATCTATTTCATACTGTGGCTTCAGAAAAAACACCCAACACATTCAGTAGAATATGCAAAGCAGCCACAGTCTTTAGTTTCTTCTACTCTTCCTTTTAGTTATTTTGATACAATTTTAAACAGAAATAAACAATAAATCCACTATCAACAAGAAAACAATACTCCATCAAGTATTACTTTTAATTAACACGTAGAGCTACACAACTATTCAAACAAATGCAACTTAAAAATTTTCCCAATGCAAACACCTGTATTCTAATTCGTGTTTAATGTATTAAATATTATGACAATTAGATTTCTAAAGTTTACATACTAATCTGGATGCTTTGATACAAAAGACCATGAAAAATACAAGCTTAAACTGTAAAAAATATTGAGACTAGCTTTATTAATAACGCTTAATTTCGATTTAATGTTTTAGTCTTAAATAGGAACAGGTAAAAAATTCCAAACCATAAATATTGTTACACTGAAAGCAAAAGCAAGAAGAATTTGATTTATATTTTATATGTTAAATCCCTTTGCCAGCTGGATTCAACTGTTCTCTTAAAGATCACTAAAAAACCGGGTTTTTTTAATAACCAGTTACTGGTATCTTGGAATTTTAGTATTTCAAAATATAATTTTTTAATTACCTTCTGGAAAATACACACAAGTAAAATATTTCCTAGACAGCATATCATTTTCTTTTTAAATAAATAACCACATACCATTTAAAAAATAAAACCTCAAATGGCAATGCTTTATTCTGAACAATCATTACATGGGCAATGCCTATATTTTTAAGGACCATACATAAAAGTATTCAGTTTCTCACTGGAAAGCTTTCATAAGCCAAATATAAAAAATCTCAGAAAGGACTTTGAAAAATTGTTGATAAATATCTGTGCTGAGAAAAAAGATAAATTTGATATTCCAAACGCATTGATAATTTATTCATTTTGGAAAAAGCTGATAAGGACAGAGGAACCAACAGTAATGACCAACAATCAATTTTCATTACACCGTTAGTCTACTGAAACTCTTAAGGTTCTAGAAGAGGTCTTTTGCCCATCGGTATAATTTAAACCCTTATCAAGTAGATCAAATATTAGATACCTTATTGGTTGTGAGTGAAACGGGTGCTAAGATGACTCAATATTACAATAAAGTCAAATCTGGGAGGAAATCTTTCTAAACTATATTCTATACTTTATTGATTTCTTTATAAACTTTATTAAAGACATTTCACCTTTTTTGAACCCCATTACTATGACTATCAATTATTAAGGGAAAACCAGACATTTTTCCATCTCTTTCCGTGCTGTCATACATCACTTCTGCTGTTGATGTGTTTGCCCACAAAGCCCCTTCTATTTGGTTTTTTTAATTGCCAGCTGAGAAACCTGACAGTTTAGATATAATTTTTAAATGCTGGTTATAGAGCAATAACCTCAGGAGTCAGAGCCCAAAGACTTATACAGAAGGTGGGAAAAGCAGAGGTGACATTTATGGAGTGCCCAGACTCTTTAAAGACATTATTTAATCTTCTTGACAACCCTATGAAGTAAGCATCATTATACCCAGTTTATAAATGAGTAAGTGAAACAGCAGTTAAGTGACTTTACAGAGGTAAACCTAGTTAAATGACTTGGCCAGGTATCAGAATTCACGTTTTCTGGTGCTATGTGCCAATTTAAGTACACTGTCCTTGTGACAGTGATTTCAATAGCTCGGGGACCATCTAGGCAGTTTCCCAAATGGCTGAGTTGCTCTATGTCTGACCTTCAGATAAAGTTCCTCCTGCACTGTCATTTGGAATTTAGTAGCTTTCCAGATCTAATGCTGCAATGAAGTCTGAACTCTCTTGGCATACACATGTGTATACAAACACATACACAAATTACACATGTAATCAGACCTTAAAGTTTGAAAGCAAATAGCTGGTTAAGAGTTTTACATGCTAAATCCAATTTTTAAGAAGTTAGGTATACATGAATATTTGTATGCCATTCTTGCCTATGCAAAGTAACTAACACTTGGGTGTCACTACAAATTCTAGGGAGCTTAGAATAACATTTTTATAAGGCACAAAAAAAATGTGAATACTTTACCCATTCCATAAATTGATTTACTTTTTAAAAACAGTGGGGAGGGGAATGTTCACCCAAAGAGTAGAAAACACTGATTTAGCAAAACTTAGTTAGTTTCCTGGTCAGAATACATTAAAATGAATATCTTAATTTTCCCTTTTGCTTTAAAAATAATTCTGTAAATTACAATGACTGGTTACCCCCTGTATCTCCCTATCATCTCCCTAAAGGAAAGAGGTATTTTACTTCCTTTTTTAAATATCTTGCTTTGGGGACCACTCAACATAAATTATAGGAAAAATGCCAAACAAAAATGTTGTAGTTTAAAACAAGTTTTTTTAATAAAAAAAAAAAAAATGTAAGATTGGTTTTACCAAAGTCAACAAACCTTTATTAAAGGCTCAGAACTCATTTTTATATCTGCATTTAATCAATTTAATTTTTCATAATCATATAACCAATATGTAAAATACCAATTTAAATTCCAAACAACTATTCTTACATGAATTCAGGGCATTTACAAACTTTATATAAAATATATACCAATTTGGAACAAAGTGCTTCATCTAATTAATGTTCTCATAAGGCCAGTTACCTAAAATAAAATAGAAACTAGGAACTATACCTAGGGACCATCAAGACCCTCTTTTCACATGCAAAATGGGGAAACATACTGGGCACACACGTGCACACACACACCCCCAAGACTCAGAAACCTGACAATTATCTATAGACTCCAGGAGTGAGCTTTTTGCTACTGTTTTGCAACCTCCCCAAAATACTCCATACATACCTTTTCCAAAAAATAACTTCTAAAATATGTATAGCGAGACTTGACATATATATTAGGTAGTTTAACATAAGGCAATGACTGCAAGTAAAAACATTGAGATATCTGATTTAAAATGGAAAAGAATTTATTTCACTTTTGCCATACCAGGACAACAAGGCAGCCCGTTTATGTCACCACTCATTAAAAGGACATTACAAAACATTAACATAATGTAATAGCCCATGTTTTCTTTCAGGCACTTTCAAAGGGCATCTCAGACCCACAATATCTTCTACTGAGTGTGCAAGAAAACAGAGCTGCAAAATGATTAGTAAGGCAAGATACTAATCTCTCCCTTTTTTATTTGAACATTAATTTTCCATTTTCTGGAGATTTCTGAATTAACATTCAAAGATATGCAGTATTTAAGTGCTCGGAATCAGCATATTATCAGCAATCTTGGGTTTAATAGCCACTATCAAGCAATTGATTTCTAAAGCACACAATATAGTTTGATAGTATTTGTAAAAGAAGATGGCCTGAATTTTGCCCTCAAATGCACAAAAAGAATTTTCTCTTTACCATCCCAAAACAGTCTTTGGCCTTGCTGAATAATTATAGAGCTGTTATTTTACTGTGAAGCAAAATAAGCCTTCAAGTGTCCCTTACTTGATCTTAGAAGGTCAAATTCTCTGTCCAACAGTTCCTCTTCTGTTAACTTTGAGAAATTATCCTCTCCAAAAGGATTCCACCCTGACATATCAGGTGGGTTACTGATGTTCTTCTGATTTGTAATATTTGCAACTGCCTCTTTATCAGCAACTGACCTAGAGTAAAAATTAAGAGAGGAAAAAGGAGGAAAAAAATACATTATAATTGAAAATTTTAAAGTTTCCTAGTTCATACTTTATAAATACTTGGGAAAGCAGATCATTTTATTATGATGGAGGTGGCAGTAAGGGCATGGATTGGAAAGGAGACCACATGGGATTTGAGTCACCTCCAAAAAAGTCACTAGCTGTGTACCCTTGTGCAAGTTCCTTAACTTCTCTAGGTCTCAACTTCCTTATCTGTGAAACAAGAGTAGCAGTATCTACCTCATAGGGTTACTGAGAAGATTAAATGATTTAATACATGTAAAGCAGAGAGAACATAAATAAATAAATAAGCACTCATTAAATATTAACTATTATTTATCATAGTGAATAAACCTTAAAGTGAAAATCAGTTGCCATATCAAACAGTATCACTCTAAAATCACTACTGAATAAGGTGATTTTATGTCCTGGTTATGCTGAGAGACACCACAATAATTTTCCTTTTGACAAAGACATTCTCTACATAGCTACCAACAAAAGGTGAGCTGCTAGAATTGCTTTATGAATTGCCTAAAAACGAGAGGAGGGTTATTTTCTATATAATAAATTATTCGTGGTGTTTAAAATATCTATAGTCTGGGGCCTTCCTGGTGGCGCAGTGGTTGAGAGTCCGCCTGCCAATGCAGGGGACATGGGTTCATGCCCCGGTCCGGGAAGATCCCACATGCCGTGGAGTGGCTGGGCCCGTGAGCCATGACAGCTGAGCCTGCGCGTCCGGAGCCTGTGCTCCGCAACGGGAGAGGCCACCACAGTGAGAGGCCCGCATACTGCAAAAACAAACAAACAAACAAAAAATCTATAGTCTGGAGCCTAGGACTACTGGTTCTATGAAAGTTATCCAATAGGCCTCTTGGCTTTTAACAGAAGATGAGAGTTTAAAGCCTTCTTAACCTAAGAATACCTGGGTACCTCTCCCTCAACCCAGCCTGGAAATACAGCATAGGCACAAGGCAGTATAAAAAAGTTGTCAAGTTCATTTAACAATTCAGATCCAGATCGTCTAACACTGGTAATGGAGAGAGAACCTCTATGTGCTTCTAAAGAAGTATCTCAATTTTTCAAGCCTTGACTCATCCCCTTAAATTCACCTTCCCCTTGGGAGCTCAGTTCCATTGCCACCACACAGATCTTGAAAGGGAATAAAGGGCAAAAGTTGCCCATTTAATCCCCTAGCCCAAGCCCCTTCGGTATAGTTGAGCCAAGAATGGAACGTTTGAACACTTACTGAAAGCTAGAATTGTCCAACTAGTAGATGGTCTTTCTAGTAAATATAACTTAGATATCTTAATAATAAATGTAATTCAGTTTAGAACTCACTCTAGGAATGCACCAACTGCCAAAGTCTAAGCCTGCCTCCGTATGAAGGAATCCCATCTCTAATTCCAGAACTACCTTCAAGGACCTTCTGAGTTCTAGAAACACAGATAACAGAGGTTAAAACTCAAAGAGAAATGGGCATTCCCCTCCTGCCTGTCAATGATTCTTTTACAACTTTAGAATTCCCTATCTGAATCATCTTCCTCCTATTCCTGGAATGAATTTATGGATTCTTCTTCATAGACTGTAACTCAAGGGGGGGGGTGTCACCTTAACCTACACTTCAAACACGTGTTAAAATATGTCTGCAAGTTCTTTGACACTCCTCCCTTCAGAGGGTGGAACCAAATTCCCCTGCCCTTGAATGTGGGCTAGATCTAGTGACTCAATTCTAACAAATGAAATATGGTGGAAGTGCCAACGTGTGACTTCTGAGACTAGATCATAAAAGGCATCAAAGGTTCCTCCTTGCCCTCTCTTTTGGACCATGTGTTCTGAAAGAAACCAGAATAAACAATTCCTTGTTCAAAACAGTCTTTGATTTTGCCAAAGAGAATGCTCAAGCAGCCTTTTGGAGAGATCCATGTGACAAAAAACTGAGGCCTCCTGCCCAAAGCCATGTGAGTGACCTTACAAACAGATCCACCAGTACCAGGCAAGCCTTCAGTGGACTGCAGCCCCAGCCAACATCTTAACTGTAACCTCATGAGAGACCCTTCCCTGCATAACCATACAGGTAAGCTACTTCTAAATTCCTGATCCAAAGAAAGTGTGTGAGATAATAAATGTTTATCATCGTTTTAAACTACTAAATTTGTCAGACAAAGAATGTCTTAACGTATAAGCTAATAATTTTCTTAGCCTTAAATGCTGCTGGATGTTGCTAAGCCTTATTTGCAAATAGCAGTTAGCAGAATTAACTGATGGAAATGGAAAGAAGGATGGAGATGCAAAGGGGTCAGGAGAGAGGACTAGTAAGAGAACAAAGGGAACTCTAAGATGGGCTCTAAATTAATTCAGGAGCCACTTAGTGACTCCACTCCATGATAACACCCACTGCCACAATAATTTCCTTTGTATTCAATGGAAAAATACTTGCCTATTGGCACTATAAGAGGAGTCCATTATGGTTCCAACCTGAGCTGGAAGTGATGAAGTGTAGGACACTAAGGCTGGTGAGAACTCTTGAGGGGAAGTGAGATATTCTGGTGATGCCTGTTGTTGAGACTGCTGATGCTGAGCTAGCATTTGCTGCTGCAAGAAAGCCTGCTGATACTGCTGCATCTGAAACAAAAAATGCCGTGATACAAAACAATGTTCAAGGTCACTAAAGCACTGTCAGCATTGCACCTATTTACTATGCTCCTTCCTTTTCACACTGGCAACAAAATCAGAAACCTGAAAAACAATTTTTATCTGAAGGAGCGGCTTGCTACTAGAAAACTACAAGATGAAATAAATCTAAGGGACTCCCCTGGTGGTCCAGTGGTTAAGACTTTGCCTTCCAGGGCAGGGAGAGCGGGTTTGATCCCTGGGGGAACTAAGATCCCACATGCCTGGCAGCCGAAAAACCAAAACAGAAATAAATCTATTTAAGAAGTTGTTTAACTGGACTTACTGTGGTGATCATTTTGTAATATATACAAATATTGAATTATTACGTTATCTCAGGTAGATAGTTTCAGGTAAACGAATATAATCTTATGTCAATTATACCTCAATTAAAAAAAAAAAAGGAACTGGAAAGTTAGCATCACCTGGCAGGATTCAAAAATTCTCCTTTAAATAGTTTAATAAAAAACGATATGGTAGTTTAAAGTCACTTGGTATAGCAGTTGCTGTAAAAACAGGTCAAACTATTCTCTGAAGCAAATGCAACTTTCCTTTGGGTTTCTTTTCTTTTCTTTTCTTCAACAAACATTTGCCAAATGAGAGAGACATATGACAAGAGATCCTGGGTAACCAATCATCTCCTTATACTATCAGATAAGATGTGCCTGATCCACGTTCAGCCCAATGTAAAGCTGCTTGAGAATACATACCTGGCTTTGATAAAATACATGTTAATAAACTAATGAGTTGATTCTGAATTATTAAATTCTGCATAATACAATTCGTACTGTGAATTCCACCACTGGAATGTATACTCAGAGAGAAATTTCTAGAAATTACATAACGCTTACCATTGTAGGATACTGTGATGCGGAAGGTTGCGGCTGATATACTGAATGCATTAAAAACTGTTGTTGAAGTATCTGTTGCTGTTGCACTGCATGTTGATACTACAATTGGAAAAACAAACTCATCAGTATTAGTTTTTTGTGCGAGAACCTTTTTTTTTAGGTATTGATCTTACCCTAACAATGACTTGGGTACTCAATAGTCCAAACACTAATGTAAGATACCTATAGTCAGTAAGTGACTATAACTTAAATCAGCTTATTGGAATTGGTTTTAAAGTTATCAATGAAACATAACAGATTCAACTAAAACCATCTCCAGCACAGTTTAAGGATGTCTGGAAGAAACCTAAACCTAAACACGTTCACCAGCTGATGAAGACCCCTGAAGTGACTTGTGTCCAGGAACCATTACAGTAAATTCCCAAGATCCTCTGTCTCCCCTTCAATATCTTCTGGCCATCCCATGGCACCCCTATTTAACTATCCTCCACTCTGGGTCTACCAGTCAAGACCAGAGGACGGGGTATACCCATGAGAAGTAGCATGCATATAATTGGCTCAAAAATAGTTCAGGAAATGATGGAAGGATGATGATGACAGTCATTAAATTTAAAATAGTTTAGTGCTAACTAGAGATGCGCAGGTTCTGATGAGGCAAAGGACAGACTAGAACTTAAGGGCATATTTTTCTATGTCCCTTCCAACTCTAAATGCCAACCCTACACACATACACATACACACACACACACACCCCCAACAAAGGCAAAAAAAGAAAAAATAAGAACAAAAACCCAAGACAATATTATTTCTGAAAGTCTTAATATCACCTTTCCCAAAATAACATTATTAATCTATACATATGAACTCAAAATGTAACCTGAAAAAGATAATATTCATCATAATTTGCAGTACTTATTTGCAATGCCAAATGACTGGGTGAACATCCTTTGCTTCATAAAGCCATGATACAACCTATTACAACAGGAGTATTCTTGAGTATCTCACAGAATGCAAATAAAATATATATTCTTTTTTTTAATTTTTTTAGTTATTTATTTTTATTTTTGGCTGCGTTGGGTCTTCACTGCTGTGAGCAGGCTTTCTCTAGCTGCGTCGAGCGGGGGCTACTCTTCATTGTGGTGCTCAGGCTTCTCATTGCAGTGGCTTCTCTTGTTGCGGAGCATAAGCTCTAGGCATGCAGGCTTCAGTAGCTGTGGCATGTGGGCTCAGTAGTTGTGGCACACGGGTTTAGTTGCTCCCTGGCATGTGGGATCTTCCCGGACCAGGACTCGAACCTGTGCCCCTGCACTGGCAGGCTGATTTTTAACCACTGCACCACTACAGAAGTCCAAACTACATATTCTTTTAATAATCAGGAAACTGAGCAAAATGTTTACTTCAATCTACAGTTCAAAGTACCCATGAAACAAAAGCGAATTCACTGCTATTCAAGAGCGGCATGAATTCCACAACAGTACTTCTGTACCTCAAGTAACGAAAGAATCACCTGCTGCATATAAGCATCCTGAAGTAGCTGCTGCTGCTGCTGCTGAGGATGACGATGCTGCAGATGAAGCTGCTGCAATCTCCAGTCTCCCTGCTGTAACTGCTGAAGTACTCGATGCTGCTGTGGAGGCTGCTGAGTGGGCCCCTGACCCAGTAAAATCTCAGGGCCATTTCCAGGTCTCAGTGATCCTAAAAGAGGTTTCCGAAAACTTACATTAACATACTCATGACTTCAATAAAATGGCTGCATTTCAAAACACGCATTCCAATAATCATTAACCAAGGCATTCATATCCTCATCTTATAGAAACTTCCATGTGTGTATGGTCTAAAGGGATTATTTACTATAATAAAAGTACCCATGAAAGTTAATTTTGTCAGTTACCACTCGTGAACAAGTCAACATCTTAGAAACACTTAATCTTTCACACTTCATCTCTCCACGAACACACCAACCATGCCAATTTGAAATGTTCCACATTTCTCAACTGTATCATGCACCATCATGAGTCTGCATCTTTGCTGACATGATTCTCTGTCTAAAATGCCACTTTCCACCCACTGCAACTCTTCTTACTTTTAAAGTTTATCTCAAATCTCTCTTCCTTCTTCCTTTAGTGCTTCCACTCAGTTTATAAAGTTTCTTTTTGCCTTGCACATATTAATTGTTTACATGGTTATTTCCTAACTGAAGGATGGGGTGAAGACTTATTTATTATTTCTTTTAGGGCCCCAAAGAACTTTTTACATAACAGATGTTCAATAAATGCTGCTGTAGTGAATCTACTAACACTGTCTCCTAAATGGGCATTTTTTATAAGCTTTATAAATTTTACCACAGGAAAATCCTATGAATAAACTTTTGAAATAACCAAAAAAGGATGAGACAGACAACTTCAAAAAGAGGAAATGCAATATACTATATTTCTATATTCTCTTCCAACAAGTTACCATAAATTCAAATATGACTCTTTAACCCTAAGGGGAGAAAAGGACTGAGAGTGCAAGAAGAGAGAGAGAAGGATTCTTTTTCATCAATGTTAATGTCTTCAAACCTCCACAGGCCTTAAGAATATACAATGCAGAAAAGAAGTCTCTTCAATAAGTGGTGCTGGGAAAACTGGACAGCTACATGTAAAAGAATGCAATTAGAA